GGCACCGGTTGGAGTCCGTGATGAACCGGTTCCGTATGCGGTGGCGATCGGCCGGCGATGATGTCGACGCCGTGCGCCGCTGTATAGTCGCCGGGTTTTTCGCGAACGCCGCCTATTTGGACCCTTCCGGCAACTACCGTACCGTTAGGGGCGACCACGAGCTCCATATACACCCGCAGTCGGTGCTGTACACGCGGCCCCGACCCCCGAAATGGGTGGTCTTTCACGAGGTACTGCACACGAGTCAGCAGTTTATGCGAGACGTGACCCCCATTGACCCAAAATGGCTGACAGAGTTGGCGCCCCATTACTACCAGTGCGGTACGGACAGGGAGATCATGGAAAGTAAGCTCACGAACAGCACGTGATTTTTGACTAATTAACTGTAAATAAATTATTTTTAAAATTCATTTTGTAAATAAAACTGACGATTAGTCTAATAAAATAGTCTATAAATAACATGAAACACAATTCGTATTGAATTAACTTTAAATTTTATTGAAAACTTTGCAAACAATTTAATATTCATTACAATCGTGTATTCAAATGGTGTGTGTAATCAATAAAAACAAAAAAATGCGGTGAAAAATAAATATTTCAATTGAAAACAAACGGCATTAGAAATACCGGTGAAAAAAGGTTGAGTGAAAAAGAAAATCCCTAACAAATGGTAACAAAAAAAATCAACACAATCTCCTGGGAGTGTATGTCCACTCAAACACACCACTCACGGGAAAGTCGATAGAAAATTGAGAATTACTTTTCAACAAATTTAACAAAACTTAAGCCTAAACTCGCCGTCAAAGCATAAAATTGGGTACAACTCTAATGGACGGCCGACAACGAGCGGTGACACTATCGGGTCTCATGGAGACATCCCTGTCCTCATCGCCACTGCACTCGTCGTCGCTCTCTAACCAAAAGTATTTCTGTCGCCTATTCGTTAAGACTCTATGACTTTGATTACTATTCACTACTAATTCATTGCATTCATTACTATTGGTGGCGAACATAATAGCCTCGCGATCACTGGTATCGGTAGTGTCGGCGCTGATCGGTATGTACGGAGGCAGTGAGTGGTCAGCGCCGGCCGTTTGGCACTGGAGGTCAACATGAATAGAGTTACTAAGGCTTCGGCGGTGGTAGTGGTGGTGTCGGTGCTGTCGATGAGAGGCGCCGTTGGTTTGGTGTTGAGTCGCGGGTTTGGCACCCGTTTTGGGGCCGAGTTTCGCACGTTTTATGAGTTTTGTTATGAATTTGTTTTTCGCGTTACTTTTGCCCACAAATCGATGACTGCTTTTGCACTAAACGTATGGAAAGTATTGGAAAACAAAAACGACTCATAAAAAACAAAACCATTAATATATTCAGTGAATCAATCGATTGGTAATAAACGCTAAGTATTAGTAAAGGCGTGGAGTGGTATGGGAACGGGAGGTGCGACATAGACATGCAGCTAATAACCGACTACCGTAATAGGTAGGAACTGGATGTTAGTTTACATACAAACCTGCGATACACGCACACAAGTGTGGGGAACGGGTGGCCTACTAAACAGTGCTAAACAGTACACACAATAGATTGGGATCTAATCGACACAATTAGACTTCTCGGGGGAACAGTAGCCGAAAGTATCACAAATACAACGGGAATGGGAGGGCGAGCGGGGAAGAGGAGGGGGTATACCTTATCTCCGAGGGGACAGTGGCCCTGGAGGTAGAGCTGACAGACGCGGGCGTTGGCGTTGACGTTCACGTGCCGATAGGGACAGTCGTCGTTAGAGCACCGGCCCTCCAGGTAGTACTGACAGACGGGCATCTCGACCACCGGTGCTTTCGGTCCAACCGCCTGTCCATTAGTGGCGGTGGTGGTCGACCTCCGGGCGGCGGCTAATCTCTTGAGCGTAAATCTCGACCTCTTAACTAACGCTAACTTATTACTCATATTATGATAACTATTATTATTATTATGCAAACGATTATTATTATAGCGATTAGTGTTGGCATTAATGGTGTTGTGACTCATATTGAGCCGACTTTTGGCTAATTTGAGGTAATTTTTGACTAACTTTTTAGCGTTTAATTGCTTGTAATTACGGCTAAACTTACGATAAGCGCTACTCGTATGGACTACACTAGCATTATAGGCATTATTAGTAATATTACGGCGTGACTGGCCTTTCGCCGGGTGTTTCACCGCATTGACCGTCACGTTTGGGACCTTTTTATACTTAAATCGTTTGTATTTATTGTAATTTAAACTAAATTTACGTGAATTCATGTCACGCGCGATGAGTAGTTGTCGGTGTGTTATGTATGGCATTGTGTACATAGTGTGAGTGAAAACACGTGTTATATATATATATATATATAGTAATCAACTAAATACAGGCGTTTATAATGTAATCATAAGTGTATCGAAAAAAGTGAATTAAAACTAAATTAACGCTAAATTTAAATACAATTAAAAATAATATGCTTTTCATGTAATGTGTGTACAAATGAATGGTTGAGAAAAACAGGATAACTACAAATACAAAGTTTTTGTGCCTAAAAACGCGAGTAATTAGCAATTTTAGGCACGTTATACGCTAGGTAATAAAACTAATTAGTTATTACTAGTTACAATTAGTTGTAATTAATTAAATACGCATTTAATTCACACCACAAACTGATAAACAAAATCACAATATGTTTGCCNATACAAAGTTTTTGTGCCTAAAAACGCGAGTAATTAGCAATTTTAGGCACGTTATACGCTAGGTAATAAAACTAATTAGTTATTACTAGTTACAATTAGTTGTAATTAATTAAATACGCATTTAATTCACACCACAAACTGATAAACAAAATCACAATATGTTTGCCAATAATGCACTGCATTATAATCGTCGACTCCAGAGATAACGTTACGATTTTGTGGGCGTGTGAGGGGTTTGTAGTGAGAAGTACTGCTCGTAAAGTTATGCTTACTGTTAGCATAAGGGGTTGTGTTAGTGATTGCATTGTGTTTATCGTGTAACGAGTTTTGTGAACGGAAACTGTAGTTTTTATTCCAATAAATGGCATTTTTCAATGACATAATTTTAGGGCCATTCAGTAATTACGTTACTTTTAAAAGTTTTTTGCATTTTATATTTTGCAAATTCATTCAATTATTTTAATTAAGTATTAATTAAACAAATCTATTTTAATAAACGTAACTTGATATAACTTGTGTTAAAGTATCAAGTTACTGTATAAATAGTTATTTTAATTATACCAATGTTTAATTAGGTGTTTAAAAGCACAGGTAAGGAACTGGAGGTTGTATTTGAACAGATTATTTGTTATAAAATTTTTGTAATTTAATTATTGATTAATGAAAGTAATTGTATAAATAGTTTGCATACAATTCATGTGAAATATTATCCCAGATCATAATCAATAGTGTTATTCAGTAGAAAAATATACTGAAAATGAAATCAATAATCAAAAAATGAAATATAGAGGTATTCCTACCTATTGGACAGGTATTCCGTGCTATCAGCGATAATAAAAGTTATAAATTTTTATATAAAAAGTTATATAAAATAAGAAATAAAATAGAAATTCTTTAGATATCGTAATAATCGATAGGAATATAACTGTTATTATAACACACTATTGAATACCTAATGATAAAAGCATTTATTGTTTTTAGTTTTTATTATCTTTTTCTGTTTTTTAATAAACAAGTTATAAAAGATTTGCATTTAATTTATCAGTGCTTTGCAAATATATACATATAATTAGTACTTTCAATCAATCACTCGGAAACTCACGAGAGAGAGAGAGAGAGAGAGAGAGAGAGAGACTGTATATAACCTGAATACCGTATGTTTAGCATATATTTCCTGATATTTAAAATAATTTCCAATTTATTAATATTAACCATTCATTTGTTACTTTTTATTATTTTGTTTGTGTCGTTATAATTATTATATAATTTATAGCCATACGTTTAAATACTGTGTATTTATAGAGTAATTTTCTATTGAATACATTATCCACACACACAGACAACCCTATCGTGTAAATTAAATATAACTCATTTGAATATATAGTGTATAACTTTGTAATAGTGAACAGACTATCACTTGAATAACTGGTTGACTAATTGAGACTAAGATTTTTGTTATACGAGAGTATATTCTGCGGGCAATAAATCATTCAATGCATACATAAGTTATTAATTGAATTCCGATAAAAACATCAAAAGATTTTCATTTTATTTATAAATTTAATTTTAATATAACTTTTGTCGAGAGAGAGAGAGAGAGAGAGAGAGAGTACTGAATTTATTAATTATCATATAAATAGTGAAAATAATTATTGTGTTTGCGATGCACATGTAATACTGATTTATAGTCACATTAAATCACATAATAATTTCTACCCATTAATCATAAGCCTCTGTCAATGATACCTAGCATTCAATTAAAACATTTTGCCAATATATACTTTAGTACTTTGCCATTTTACTTTTACTAGTTATATGAAAATTAATACCAAAAAAATATTTGAACATAATTTGCAGGTAATTATCGTTTGCATTAAATATACGATCAATTAATCAGAAAATTTATTTTCTAAACGTTATACAGAAATAGTTTTTTTAACCCAACTTTCGATAAATGGTTTGAAAAAAATTATTTAATAAAAAAGTTTTAAAACCGATTTCAAATCTACAGAAATATATTGGAGACTACCAGTGCTTTTGAACGAGACTGTATTAACGGGGGGAATGGTATGCTATGGGCACCGGAACCACGATGCGATTGCAATCTAAACAATGATTAAGAGATAATGGGTATGAAAAACAGGGGACAGGGATGTGTCACTTGTTTTGTAATACGAGCGCCTAATGTACAGCGCCAGTAGTCTATTAAAGTGCTGGACACACATTTTATCGTTCATACTATTGGCGAGAAAGTGGGAACAGTAGCCTAAATGTATTGCAGTAGAAAACACTTAAATTCTGGTGTATTAAGTATTAAATTACTTTTACCACTAAATGTTTTTAAAAGTCTCAAACTTTTTATACAAATATTTTCAGTTTATTTTAATTATTTTACTAATCAATACTTATTGCATGAAATTAATTACTTTCTCAAACAGTACATTTCTATTTAAAATTAAAAATATAATATATTAAAATTAACAGAATATTCTTAGAGCATAATTATTTAATATAACAGAATATCTACATGTATACACACAAATATTTTATCGCGTTGAAATGCTCTCGATAATTAATGTATGATTTACAATCAGTAGAAAATCTTTTTTATAATTAAACCAATAATTTATTATAAATCTAAAAGTTTTTTGTATCATTAGAAAATTATATAAAAATTAATGAGAAAATTAACAATTGATTTTAATTACAATGTAATGTACTGTATATTCTTACAGAATATACTCATAAAACCAGTATAAATTTGTTTATATTTATATACAAAGAATATTCTTTACAAAGTTACTATTTATTCATATAAGACTGGTAAAATAAATAATTTTAAAATAAAATAACACGCAAATAATTATAGTCAAATATTTTTACCAATTACAGTATAATCATAATACAAAGTATTATTGTATGTATACACTTTTACATAATACATAAATTATACTTATTAATTTACTTATTTAGAAGTTTATCAACATAAACACAAAGTATCTTGCTCAAAACAAGTCATACTTTAACAATTAATAATGATTGGACTTTGTGATCATCTAGAATTTAGACAATTTAAACAGCCACCACTACCACCACCCTGATGCAATACAGATAAAACAAAGTTATATATTTTACTTTTTATTGCCGTATTTTTAAAGTAATTTTATTTGCGTTTTACTGACGAATAGTGAATAAAATGCCAGAAATTAAATCACAAAAACAAATTAAAAACAGTCGGAGAGAGAGAGAGAGAGAGAAATTTATTTATAAAACTCGTGATTACTATCAGTGAATAGTGTCCTAAAAATATTGAGTGAAAGTTATTATAGATATTTAAAAGTGATATAAAAGTTGTCTAAACCTAAGGCACTGTTTTGGAAAAAAAACTTGAAATATGTTTTCGAGAGAGAGAGAGAGAGAGAGAGAGAGAGAGAGAGACTTGATTTGTAATATACTTATGTAACTAATCCGACAACTTTTTGACTTATCATAACATTAATATAGACTTCACTAATAGATGGCATATATCTCGGCGTAAAAGTGGCTAAAAATTCTGGTTTTTCGGCCGAAGTTTCTTTTAAATGCATTTGATTTTTATTTATAACTTTTAATTCGTAGTTAAAAATCGCGACTCAAAAGCGAAAATACAAACTAAAAAACCCGGAAATGTTTGATTAAAATCTGGTTTTTACTTTAATATAACTGTACTTTTTCTCTCTCGCTATCGACTAATATATAAGAAATCAATTTTCTTGTTATTGTTTGCCTATACGTGTGGTTATTATATGAGAGAAACAAAAATAAAAGTTTCTTTTCAGTTATAGTTATTACGAGTCAATACTTATCTGTTTAACTCAAAAATATTGTCTTATTTCGCAAATCAAACAATTGTTTCCCAAAAATATAATAAACCTTTTATTTGCTTATATTTTCTTATGTCATATACTCATGCAATAGAAAAGTTTTTTGGGATTTTTGCGCACAGAAAAGTAATAATTTTAAAAACTTTATGCGAGAGTTTAGATTATTTCAATTACCGAGATTATATATATTTCTTAATACTGTATATAATTATAAAAAAGTTTTTTGCCTAAAAACATAGATTAACTTTTATATATAAGTTAGTTGTTTATTGAATTGAAAATTCATTATTGATAATAAATTAGTAAATGTTTTTTCCGAGAGACTAAACCAGAAATACAAATATTATGTATATTATATGCGAGAGAGAGAGAGAGAGAGAGAGAGAGAGCTATATATATAAAATGCAAAGTGAAACTAAAAGCACCAAACAAAATACCGATAAAACATTAGTTAAAAAATTA